ACATTTGTACCACTTAAATGAGTGGCTTATATCTCAATAAAGCTGTTTAAAAAAAGAAAAGCTGTCTAACCCAGCAGTTCTGTCAAAAGAACATAAATTATGTGAAATATTATTGAAAACCACATCATTAGTGATTTTGCTACAATAAAGGAATATGAAATAATTTATTAATTATAAATGTCTTTGGTTTATTACTCACCCACATTTCATTGGCCCACCAAGAGAACACCCAGAATCTACAATAACAGTTAAGCTCAATAATCTTTGATACTTGACTTACTTTTAGTCATATAAAAACCAAAATAGTACACATATTTTTTGACATTGCAATTATAGAGAGATGTTTGTCAGGATAGGTAGACAGAACTTAATTTGTAGGAGTACTGTTACAATGTTCCAGCTTCACATTTGCCATTGATGTGTTTCTCTATTTAACATACATCTTCCCTACCAGCCTACAAGTTCCATAGGGCAGGACCAGAAGCATGTTTACTTTTACTTACATTGTCTTCCCTTATGCCAGGTACAATGCCTGATACTTGGGACACACTTTTATTATTGTAGTTGTTATTTTCTATTGTACAAAGATTTTTGAATACATGAATCAAAATATTAATAAAGAACTCATCCAGTCTCAACTACCCTAACTATCTATAACTATCCTCAACACGAGAAAATAGGATATGTCATCTTCTTTCAACCACACCGTGTGGTAGTTAGGATCAGAAGACTTTATGTGTGGTTTAGTAGACCAGAAATGGTCTAGTAGAACCTCTACCCTGATTCTCTGTGACCTCTTCTGGGTTACTCACCTAGTAATGTCTATTAATGGCCAATATCAGAATTCCCAGCATGTTCCAGGTATTCCACACATATCATCTCTGTCTCCTTTAAATCTTCCCAGCCACCCTATGAGGTATGTGCTATCATGATCTTCATTGTACAAAGGAGGAATCTGACTCAAGTTGACTAAATAATTTCTGCAAGGTCACACAGTTAGCAAGAGAAAGAACAGGATCTTCTTAGACAATAGGAGTCCACTGACAGACACTACTGACAGAAAGGGATGCCTCTGTCATGACTGGAAGAACTTAGTTACACTGGTACTAACGAGGAAAAACTCTGGAACCTACAGCCACACACAGAACTCTAAAGCCAGCCACCCACCATCTTGCAGGCATACATGGCTGAGGCACAAGAAAGAACCTCCAGACATGTAAGTGTCCTCACCAGCACTTTCTCCTGTTACCTCACTTCCATCTCTGAGACAGGAAAGGTGGATGCCATGGTCCCATCTTACAGATGAGAAAAGCTGGGAAAGTCAGTGACAAGCCAAGGTCAGGTGCAAGCACAGAACTAAGGTTAGAAGTCAGGCATGGTAACCATGGCCTAAAACAATCACCACCACTAAAGGTGTGGGTACCCTGAAAGCAATATGTAAATGTCCCCTAATTGATTGCTTGCAGATATGTCTCTCATTACACCTTTAGTCCCATAAAAGTCATTGTTACCTGCTATCTAGTAGGCCAGACTCATGGTGACCTCAAGCACAATGAAACGAAACACTGCCCAATTTTGTGCCATCCCCTCGATTGGCTGCAGAGCAGATCATTGTGATGCCTAGATTTCCAGGCCTTTCTTCTTAATCTGTCTTAATCTGCAAGCTCTGCTGAAACCTGTTCAGCATCACAGCAACACACAACCCTCTACTGTTGTCTGTACAGGAGGTGCATTGGCTGGAAATCAAACCTAAGTCTCCTGCAAAAGAGGCAAGAATTATTCCACTGAACCATCAACACCCTTGGGTATCATCAACACTGTGCCTGCCACATAGTCGGCATCAAAGAACTGCAAAATGAAGGAAGGAAAGAATGAATGGAATGAACATGAAAAGTCATAGTTTTCTCCATAGTTCTTATGCCACGGGCAATCTCAGAAAGATATGACATGTTTTGTACAAGGATGACTGTGATGAGACCAAGCAGCCCCAGAAGCCACGATTTCACAATGATTCTTGGCTTCCCAGACCCAATAGGACAATGTGAGAATCTATGGGAAGAACCAACACAGTCAGAGCTAGGTCCAAAGTCCATGATCAGATTAGATCTCTACTATTCCACAATCTGGGGGTCCCCACATCTATGATGATACTGCCATGCTTACTTTTATTTCACCCCAGCAGAGTGGAACTGTGGTCCAGTGGTATCTTACCACAGCAAACATTGACGTTTTTACATTTTACACACTAAGAAACTGAGGAGAACAGAGAAACTGCATAACACTTCAAGGCAAGCTGTGAGTTTGTTCTTGAAGCCAGAAAAATCACTTGAAATTCAGCCCAAAATTCTAAAGAAAGTTAGAGATGCTTTTGGGGAATGAGACCATTTACTTTCAAAAGGTGAAAGACCACCCCACCTCCAGCCCCTAAAACTACATTTTTTTAAAGCCTCTGAATTTTGCTTTTGGCCATGGAATATTTCAAAAAGAAAATATTAAAAGTGATGGCAAAGATTAATTTAACAAGAAGATATCAATGTACTTGATAAACACTAATATTTAAAACATTCTTCAGTTCTTTACTATGGTTAGTTGAAGAATGAAAAAACAAATGTGGGGCAAAAAAGGGAATGTTAAAAGCAAAGAAAAAAACTAAACTCACTGCCATCAAGCTGGATCAGACTCATAGCAACCTCTCTTTGGGTTTCCGAGGCAGTATCACTACAGAAGTAGATTGCCCAACCTTCCTTCCAAGGAGTACCTGGTGGGTTTGAACCGCCAGCCTTCTGGTTAGCAGTCAAATGCCTTAGGCACTATGCCACCAGAGCTTCTAAAAGCAAAGAAGACAGACTGAAAAATGCACAGTACGGAGGCTGAGGTGGAGAGAGAGCAAAGAGGCTCTGTGTAGGGTGTGCCCATCCCTCACTTAACAGCCATCACAACTCAGTTGGTATCTAGTCTTTTCCCCAAAGGTAAAAGTGAAAACGTGATATAAAAGCACTTGACCAAGGTCATTAGCTTCTAAGTGTTGGCCCTGGGTCTTAATGCATGCTGGTCCATGCACTTCCCACTATAACACCATGTGCTATTTTTACACTGGGTGTTTCCCCAAATAAATGGCTCAAGTCACACCTCTACTATCTGCTTAAGCATGTCTTCACCAGGTACCATGATTCCAACACTTGGGATGTTATCTTTAAGCCTTCCAGTTCAGCTCTAAATGAGGTAGATTGTCAGGGGTAGGGACTAGAGAGAAGAAGAAAGAAAAGAAAGATGACCTCAGGGACCAAATAAAATGTAGCTTTTAGGATCTGAGTTTCCTGGCCTACTCTAAGCAGAAACTCAATTCAACACTCAGGCACTAAGCACAATTACTCATTTATTCATCAAAGTAAAAGAAAAATCTAAAGGATATGATTTTTAGAAAGAAAATTACTTGTGATTAAGGAAAGGATTAGGTGACTTAGCTTTTACATCCTACCTAATTACATATTTAAATGTGTGGTTTGGGTCAGTTCTGTGCTATTTTTGTTTCTT